TCATGTCCAGCATCCCACACTGGAGATGCCAAAGGTGGATTCATGTTTTTTGAGGTTTTTTGTTCTCCTCCTTTCCTGGCCTGTCCCTCCCCAGGCTTGGCTGTCACCTGTGCTCCTTGCCCCTGCAGCCCCAGGCAAGGGGCCGTGCAGAAAGGGTGCAGCTGCCCTCCAAGAAATGCAGACAAAATAATTAAAGAAATAAAGCCTTTAATTTTTTTAGTTTTAATTGAATATCATGGTGGGGCTGGGAGGATTGTGGGAAACCTATGAGGCCTCAGTAGGTGCCCACATGGGGTGACTTGCAACTGTGTGCCCTTGTCCTGGTTCCCAAGTTGTCACCTGGTCCACCCACATCAGGAATATTGCAGGGATGTATGTGGTGAAAGGGCAGGGGAGATGCCTTGGTAGGATGAAGCCTTTTGGTGCAGGCAAGTAATAAACAATTGTCCCTGTGGTCTATTTATAGTGGTTGAGCCGGAGGATTAGTTGTGGGGTTATTTTTGGAGCAGCTGAAGGCAGTTGCTGGATGGCGTTTCTGAGCTAATCAAGCAAACATTTTCTGTCTCGCCTGTGCGGAGGCTCTGTGTCCCCTGTCTCCCTCTGGCGAGGCGGAAACCTGGGGTGGGGTGCCAGGGCAAGTGTGATGGGCTTGGCTTGAGCATCCTTGGATGGTCTCCTGCTGCCCTGGTTAAGCTCATACCTGGGTCAGCTACCTGAACCACACCCCAAGCACCTGGGGGACATGGGGACCCGCAGCAAGGTGCTGGCTGAACCCTGCATTGGTTGGGGGTGACATCCCCCTCCTCTACACGCAGCACTGACCCTGTCCCACCAAGCAGTGATATGTCCATGGAGCCACAACAACCACGGCCATCCTTGGCCCCGCAGCTGATGGGCTGAGGTCTCCATCCCCCAGCTGTCCCCTCCTCATCAACGATTCCCCCTCCCCTTTGCTCAAGGCCTTCCTGACCTCTGTCCCTCCCCAAAAGCCAGGCTGCACGGCAGGCTCTGCATTTGTGAGAACTTGCCTTCCCACCTCCTCCATCCCTTTTTTTTTTTTCCCCCCTTTCTCTTTTCTCCTTTTCAAGCCCCAAAGGTCACTTGTAGCCCCGTCCCCTCCCATTGAGCCTTCTTGCAGATCCGGGCTCTCCCCACCAGCCCGGCTGGGGACCTAAGCAAACAGGGCCGGGTTAACCAGCGCAGCTGTATGCTAATGACCGCTGCCCGCTTAACTCTCCTCCGCTGAGTAAAGTCAACCCCACTATTGTACCCACCTCCTCCAACAAGCCACAAAACCCCAGCGCGTTCCCGGGGCCGGCTGTGGGGTGGCACCCAATTTCCAGCTCACTTGTAATTCATCATCCCCAGCACTCGGGCTCCATCGTCCCCCCTCTGCTGCCTCCTGCCTCCCCCCCCAAGCCCTTTTGTCTTTCTTCCTTTGCCCTTTTGTGCACGTCTGGTTTTTAATAGCGCTTGGCAGCTGGTTGTGGTTTCTCTCCTCCAGCTTTGTTTGCTGCCCACTGATTGATGGCGATGCCTTTCCCACCCCCTGCTCTCTCTTCTTGCTTCTCGCCCTTCCCCAAATCCCAGGCCAGCAGCAGCCCCCCCAGTCCTCCTTCCCGGGCAGCATATGCCAGGAATTAGCTGTGTAAATAGAGGAGTGCAGCCTGGTGGGTAGCTCAGGAGCCCAGGGAGGAGATAGGGTGCTGCCTGGAACTTGGGGCCGTGCTGGGATAGGCAGTGAGGGACTGTCCACTCCTCGGGGCTGGTGAGAGGCACCTGAAGGCACCATCTCAGCCACCCTAGGGGGGGACATGGGGAGCAGAGAGGAGTCGTGGGGGTATTGTGCAAGTGGCCAGGGGCAGCCATGTGCTGTTGACACAGGTGGGGACGCAGTTGGCAGCCGGCGCCACAGGCAAACACACCTGCCTGGGCGGCTGCTTTGGCATCCCCGGCCACAGGCGCTGGCCAAAGTCTGAAATCCCTGCTCAGATCGAGCCGCACTCTGCACCTGCTGCCCCGCACACACCCCGTCTCACTCTGGGGACAGGCCCCAGCACCCGAAACCTCCCTGCCAGCTGCTGCCCTGTGGGAAAGGCGAGAGGATGGGGATGCTCAGCGTGTGGGCTGGGGTTTGCATCCCAGGGGGGCTTGGCACCCTTCTTGGTCTAAAGCTGAGTGTGTTATGGGGATGCCCAGCTCCCAGGTGCTGGTTTGGGTTTTGGCAAGGGGGAAGAAGTCACTGCCAGCATCCTGGAGGAACTGATCCCAGGTGCTGCCCAGGGGCACTGTGTTGCATCCAAAGCCACGTGGTCTCAGCCCCTTGGTCCTCAGAGGTGCCTTGTCTTCTCTTTCAGACCTTCATCTTCACAGACGGGGAGGATGAGGAGCTGAAGAAGCAAGCACGTGAGTCTGTGGCGCTTGTCCCTTTGTGTGTGTGACATGGCCAGGTCCCCTGAAGAGCCCTGCTTGTGGAGCATGGCTGGCATGGAGCTTGTCCTGGGAACTCTGGAAAAGCCCTCACCACAGAGACCCGGACTGAGAAGGAGGCAGTTCTTTTCACTGATTATGCTTAAAGCACCCTCTGCCCAGGAGCCCCACCTGGGGGCAGGTTTTTTTCCCAGTCAGCCCAGCCTGTCTCCTGTATGATGCTGCTGGGGAGCATGCTAACAGGGTGGGGTGCCTTTGCACCGCTTTGTCCCTGGGATGAGCTGGGATTGATGGGCAATACAGACAGGGTTTCATGGGAGCATTTCTCTGGCAGTCATTCTTCGGGCTGGGGTCAGCATGATCTGTTCTTCCCATGCAAATGACTCCTTTGCAGGCTGGGAAGTGATTGCTTTTGAGCCAGGCAAGTAAAATAGGGTAGGATTTTTGCTGTCATGTCCTGGAGGAGCTGGCTCACAGGCCCCCCCTCACCCCCAGGGTGACTGGTGCATGGCTCTGGGATGGGCAAGGTGTTGTAGGATGGCATAACTCCTAGAACATAGGATAGGGCCGAACTATGGTGTATCAGTTACATCCACTGCATCTACATCCCTTGATCACCCCTTCCCTTATCTCACATGGACACAAAAGGCGTTCCCTAAAAATTCATCAATTGCCCAAAACAGTGTGGCATGGAGGTCTTTGAGCATCAGGATCATCCCTGAATTTCCATCCCCCTGGCACACCTGGGGACATGTGTGGTGAAGTGTCACCATCTGAGCACGTAGGGGGGGTATGGGATGCTGCGATGCCGGGCTTTGACCCCCGTCTCTTCACGCAGGAAATGTCATCAACACCAACTGCTCGGCTGCCCACAGCCGCCAGGCCCTGTCCTGCAAGATGGCTGTGGAGTACGACAAGTTCATTGAGTCGGGCAGAAAGTAAGTGATGTCCAGGGCTGCTGTGGAGGATGGTGGGGCTGAGGGGAAGGGATGGTGCAAGCAGAGACCGTTCGTATTTTTGGGGCCTTATTTCAGTGTGGGGTCTGTGGAGCTGCCCCGGGCCGGTGTGACACTGCTGTCCCTGCAGGTGGTTCTGCCATGTGGACGATGACAACTATGTGAACGTGCGGATGCTGGTCAAGCTGCTCTCCAGCTACCCCCACACACAGGACATCTACATCGGGAAGCCCAGCCTGGACCGGCCCATCCAGGCTACAGAGAGGATCAGCGAGAACAAGCTGGTGAGGGTGGGGAGAGAAGTTGGATCTGACTTAATTTGGGCTGGGTGGAGAAGGAGGTCTCACTGCTGTTGTCTCCCATCTCTTGCAGCACCCTGTGCATTTCTGGTTTGCCACAGGTGGAGCGGGGTTCTGTATCAGCCGGGGGCTGGCGCTGAAGATGAGCCCTTGGGCCAGGTAAGAGCTTTGGTGTTGCCCTCCCATGGGGACTCATCATGGGCTCAAGCAGGGCACAGAGAAGCGATATCTTTCGAGATGGATGTTGAACCATGTCCCCTCACCTTACTCTTTGCCTTGCTGAGGTTGTCTGCAGGGGGCTTGGAAACAAGTTGGGAAGGGCCTCAGTTCCCCCAAATTGACTTTTAATCAGAGCTAGGCACCTGCTGGCCAAGCCCAGACCCTGCAGGGTGCCCACATCCCCTGGGATTTGCTCCTCTGCAGCCCCTCTCTGTCTCCCCGCAGCGGGGGTCACTTCATGAGCACCGCGGAGAAGATCCGCCTGCCCGACGACTGCACCATCGGCTACATCATCGAGTCCGTGCTGGGCGTGAAGCTCATCCGGAGCAACCTTTTCCACTCGCACCTGGAGAACCTCCACCAGGTGCCCAAGTCGGAGATCCACAAACAGGTACCCCAAGTTGTCACCTAAAAATTGGGCATCGTGGCTAAGATATTGATTGACATGCGACCAAAACATCAGCAGAGGGGAAAAGCCCCATCGGCCCATCCCTGTGGGGTGATGCAGAGTGTGACTGGAGGCTTTGGGAAGTGGGGTGAATCTTGCAGCCCTCCATGCCCCTGCTTGATCCTTATGGCCACGTCGGCCACTTGACCCCCCTGTGCTTGCCCCCCAGGTGACACTAAGCTATGGCATGTTCGAAAACAAGCGCAACTCCATCCACATGAAGGGAGCCTTCTCTGTCGAGGAGGACCCATCCAGGTGAGAACGGGGGACCCCATCCCCCCCTAGGCTGGGGTGCTGCGGGGCTGCCACCGTCCCATGCTCAGCATTGCTCCTCTCCTCTGCAGGTTTCGCTCCGTGCACTGCCTGCTGTACCCCGACACGCCGTGGTGCCCCACCAACATGGTTTACTAGGAGGCGCGTGTCCCCTCCAACCTCGTCCCGAATTTCCCCGGTATCCGACGGGCATGCGGGACCTGCGTGCGGGTGTGTCAGTCTGGCCTCGCTGCGAGGCGGACGGACGGACGGACGTCGTTGCTGTGGTATTGCACAGTGTGTGTGTACTGAAGGCTGCTGTGCGGCCCCTTGTCCCCTGCCCTGCCTGCCCGGCTGCCCGTGCCCGCCGCCTGATCCGGCTGGGATGGTGGACAGGGACGGGTCCTGAGCACTTAAACTGTTGGGCACCCGCGGCTGGTGGGCCCCACGCCATGCGTGGGAAGCGACCACAGCGCGGGGCCTTGCCCGCCCCGGGCTTGCTTCTCCTTCATTTTTTTTTCCTTTCAGATGTCAAGTTTTTTGGTGTGTTCTTCCCCTCCTTTCATCTACCCTCCACCCCACTCCCATAACCCCTCACCCACCCCATCCTCTCTCCCAGTCCCAAAATCTCAGCAGCAAAGCTCTGGCTCCCAATTCAGATGAGGGATCCCTGTGAGTTTTGCTCCCTGGCTCGGCAGGCAGGCAGGGGCAGGCAGGGGAATCCTCTGGCCATGGCAGTGGCTGCTCCAGGGTGCTGCAAAGCTGCCGGGTGCTCGATGGCTGCACTGGAGGGAGACGGGGGGGGGGTGGGCTGGGAGCCGGCGTTGGCATTAGCTCCGTTTCCTGGAGCTCCCCCTGTATGGCTGAACTGTTGCCGGCAGCACTGGTCTGTGCACTATTTATAGACTCATGTAAAGACTTTCTATAAATACAGGGGTGGGAGGAGGGCTTTTCCGGAGCTGCCAGAGTGGCGTGGGCATCATGTTTGTGCAGGGTCTCCCTCCAGTGCCGCCTCCCTGCCTGCTCACAGGCAGCCCTGCACCTCTGCAGAGGAGCACCTCAAAGTCCAGCCAGGGGCTCTGTGGGTGTCCCCTGCCCCACTGTGGGGCCAGAGCATCCTCCAGCACTGACCTGGCTGTGGGTGTTGCTGGGGTGGCCGGAGCACCCAGGAGGCATCTGGCCAGCCAAGCTCCTGCCATGGGCAGGCAGTGTTTCCCAGCCTGGCTGTTATGCTCTCCCTGATGGAAAAGGATTTATCCAGGGAGGGAGAGGGACCCTACATCTTCTGAGAGCTGCCTTGCCTGCCACCACCAGCCCTCTGCCCCTGGGCTGAGCCAGAGCTGAACGTTTCCAACCTGAAGCTGAGTGAAAATAGCCCATAATGGGTGTGTTGTAAATATGTTATTGTGCCAGTATTTTTTTTACTGTGCCTTTTTTTTAAGGAAAAAAAAAAACCACATTGAGAAATATGTAGATTTAAAATGCTTTTTATACATTTTCTGTGGATCAGAAAAAGAAAAATCCCCAACCTTTGATAATCTGTTTAAGAAAGAAAGAAAGAAAAAAAAAAATTGCGATGTCTTGTAACTATCACTTACCTTAATTTATATGTTCCAGTATCTGGAATGTCACTCTGTGCTTTTTGTAACTAGGATGTGTTTAAAGCAATAGCTGTGGGAAGGGGAACCAGCATGGACAGTGTGTTCTCAGGGACCTGAACCCGATTGCTGCCACGGGGTTCCCGTGGGAGCAGTCACCAATAAAGTGGCTTTTTTGCTGACCACAGTCACCTGGTCCTGGGCTCCGGTGTCTCTTTATGGATGAGCTGCTCTGAACACCCCTTGATCCCCCGCGGATGTTGTCACCTCTGCCCAAGCTCTCAGGGAGGCACCGAGGAGGGGTTGCGCCTATCATCCCTCTTTTCCCACGGGTACAGGGACCTACTGGCCATTTGCATCGCAGGGTGTGAGGGTCCTCTCCTCCTTCCCCTTCCCAAAAGGCTTGGATAGGGCTTGTCACCTCAGGGCTGGTTTTTCCCAGGCTCAGGGGTGGGAGCGGAGGCGGCGGGGATGAGGTGAGAGCCGGTTGTTAGCAGGGTGTTGTTAACAGCCGGCCGGCAGGCGTGTGCGTGGGAAGGTTGGGGGCTGCAGGGGGGGGGCAAAGAACCCCTCCTCTCCCAGCCCTCCCTTCATCCTCCTCACCACAGTTTCAGCCGACACTGAATATCCACCTGCCAGTAACAAGCCCCAGCTTTCCTGCGCTGTAGCAATATCATAAGATCTTCCCCCCACCCCAAACCAGTCTTGTTTGTGCCACTGGTACCAGCTTCCACCTGTGCCATCCCCACCTTCCCCCACCTGCCTACATCCCCAGCACCTTTTTTTTTTTCCTTTTCGAGGCACACTTACTTACTTCACAGTTTCACTTGAATCTCTGGGTTATCAGGGGGTGGTGCTGCTAAAAATACGGCCTGGCAGGAAGTCGGCGTGTGCTGAAGCAGCCGCTGCTCCTCCCAACACCCTCTCACCCTTCAGACAGCCACAAAAATCAAAAGTCCCCCAAACTCTGCAGCCCTTGGGCTGCCATGGGCGAGGTAGGGCTGTGGCTGCTGCCCCAGAGAACGAAGTATTGCCCTGACCTGGTTGCCCCAAAATGCTCCCCAGAGAAAGGGAGGGGTGGAGAGCAGTGCTGCCCTCCCCCAGCTGACTGGGGCCAGGGATGGTGTGGTGGGTGCAGGATTTGGTGCCCCTCAGCCCTGCCCTGGTGCAGGGTCAGTGAAGGGACCTGTGTCAGGAGCAGGAAGCTGTGACGCTGTGGCACCATCCCCTTGCCCGCATGTTTTCCTATTGCTCATCGGCTGCGGTTTCAGCAGTGCCGGCTCTTCCCGGCAGCCCCGTCACCCTCTCTGAGCCTGACCTTCCCTTGGCCCCGGGGATGGGATGGAGAGTTGCACCCAGGACAGGGCATCACCCATTGCGCCCCACGCAGGGGTGGGTGCAGGGCAGCTGTTGGCTGCAGAACAGCCCAAATCTTGTGTTAAGTGCCCACCAAGGCACCAGGGAGCCAGGGGATGTGGCATGAGGCTGGTATGGTGCTGCAAGGATCAGGAGCCCCTGACAGGGGGAAAGGCTGGGAGGGTGCTGGGCATGGTGCAACACCTGCAGGGGGCTTAAAAAGCAAAATAAATTAAAATAAAATACAATACAAAATAATAGCCCGCAAATAAATTAAATTAAATTAAATTAAAAATTAAAATAAAATAAAAAAATAAAAATAAAATAAAATAAAATAAAATTACCCCATTGAGCCTTCAGGAGTGGGGGCAGGCAGCTCACCAGCCCTCCAGTTTGTCTCCCACCAGGCTCCCAGCCTCTCCCTCCTCCCTTCCCTACTCGTGGGCCGAAAAGTAAATAAATACACGCAATAATAAACAAAAGGAAAACAAAAGCAAAGCCTGCTGCTCTCGCATACTTGGCAGCTCCACAGGCCAGCCTGCTTTCATCTGCACCCCGGCGCTGTTGTGGGACGTCCTGTTTACTCTCCCTGGCTCGCGGCAGCTGATAAGGAGGCTGTACCTTTTGGAGAGTCTGGTGTGTGGTGGTGGGGTGGGGACAAGCCCAGCTTGCTGGGGACACTGCTGCTATGTAGGGACCACTGCTGTCGACACCACCGTGCCCAAGGGATGCTCCAGCACCGTGCCCGGCCAAAGGCTTTCCCCATCCCTGGGTGGTTGCAACATCGAGGGCAGAGAGTAACACAGTGGTTTAGTCCTTTTTGTTGCTTCCCATCTCCTCTTTTTTTGGTTTAATTTGCATTTGGGTCACTTGCAGCCCTGGACTTCATGTGAATCACTGCGTTCCCAGCCCGGCTGCAGGGACTCTCAGTGGGGAGCGTGTGCGCGGCGGCGGAACGAACACCCACCCTGGCACTGACGGCAGCGAGAAATGCTTGAGACTTGGGGTGGGAGGGCAGTGTTGGGAGACAACAAAACTTGTGTGAATCGGCTCCAAGAGCCACTTCCAGCTGCTTTGGCCCAGCAAACTGGAATATTTGTGGGAAACGAACATAAAAGCATCCGAATCGCGGGGCCTGAGCAATGCGTGCAGTGCTCCAGCTTTGGGAGTTGCCTGTCCCAGTGCTGGATGGGAGAGTGCTGGGACCCCCTGGGCTCATGATCTACATCCCACCACCTCCGTGCACCTGCAGGTGACTAAATCCACCGCCAGCATTGTCTGTCTTGGAGCGAGGGGCCGCAAAGCCCTGTGGCAGAGAGTGACGGCTGCAGGATGGCCGAGATGCAGTGTTGGGATGTGCAGGGCAGTCCCTCAAAAGCAGCTCCCAGCCATCACCCACATCCCCTTTATTTTTTTTGGCTTTCTACTATTTCCCACTCCTGCATAACACGCAGGTGGTTAAAATAAATACCCCCCAAGCTCCACAAAGTTTATTTTTTCTCTTCCTGACTTTTAAGACCAGCCTTGAATCTATCAAAATGAATTCCCTCAGCCTCAGAGCTCCCAGCAGCCGCTGCTTCTGTCCGCCTCAGCTGCCCAGTGGGGCCAGCTCTGCTCTTGTAGCCATTTGGCAAGCCAAGAGTGGAGGAGGAGATAAATGGAGCATCTCAAAAACAGCTGGAAACACTTCCCACGGCTCTGCCAGATGAGATCCATGAAGCTGTGGCTTTACCGCACAGCCCCGCTCCCAGCCTCTCCTTCCTCCTCTTCCTCGGGTGTGTCCCCCATCCATTCCCCCTCAAACCAGGGTGGTTTCACCAGGGAAACAGTGTCAGGTTTGTGCCTGTCCATGCTGAGGACAGGGATCTGAAAGCAGCAGTGACATCACACAGCGAAGCAGTGTCACTGTGTTGGTCCACACTGGGTGATGCTCCAGCCATGTCCACATCATCCTAGTGAGCCCCCCCTTATTTAGGGGGACACAGGATGGGCTGTTGAGCTTGACAGCCCTCGGGAGCAGGGGACCATGCTTGTTCCCTGTTGAGCAACCCATCCCCAGGCCCCAGAGCTGACGTGTCTGGAACAGATCGTGAGTGGCCGGGTGATTTATGGGGTGCAAGCGCCAGGTTCCGTGATGTTTGGCTGGTGGGAAGAGGAAGCGGGTGGGAGAAGCACCAGCATCTGCAACACCTCGCAGTGAGAAGGGAGCTGTGCTTCCTCCCACTTTCCTCCGAGGACTGGGAGGGATTAAAAAAAATCCCTGAGCTGGGATTTTTGCTGAGGTCATGGTGAGAAAACACCGCCTGCTTTAGGCAAAGCTTTCCTTGCTTGCAGAGCCCTGCGGTCCCACCGTCAGCTGCAGGAGGAAACATCCTTCTGGCCCTGTCACCATCCAACCCCTCTCCACCATGCAACAGCACGAGGGCACTGTTGTGTGGCCAGCTGCTTCATCACCGTGGCCACAGCCAAGCCACCCTCTGGCCCTGCCTGGTCACCCCAGCAGGTGAGGGCAAACGAGCTGGGAGGTCTCAGGGTGCTGGGACCCACCAAACTGGTCCAGGCTCGGCTGCAGACATGGAGTGAGGAGGAGCATCCCTGTAGCTGCCTCCGCTACAAACCCTCCTGACTTCCAAGCGCAGGGCTCCAGCATCCCCACGTGGTCAGACTGATCGGAGTCTCCCCGTTCTGGGTTTCCTTTCCAGGGCTGGCAGACACTCAGCTCTGTCCTGGCCTCCCTCGCAGTGCAGGGAGAGGTTGCCACCTCCTGAAAGCACCGCAGGGAAGGGTGGGGAGATGGGGTGTTTACTCGGGGACAAGGGTGCTTCAGAAGGGGTTAGAGAAGATGAGCTGCAATTTCAGCTGCCTTTTGCCTTCCTGGACACATGGGGAGTGCAAGTCCCTGTTGGACCATCCCAAAGGAGAACCATGAACCCAGCTCTTAAGTGGAAGGAGCTGGGCAGATGCCACCTGCACAGTACCATGCTTGGCAGAAAACATGTAGCTTGGGCCATTTGCCGTCCCAAGAGGTGACAGGAGATGGGGACACAGTCAGTAACTGTGTCCCAGAGCCACCAGCTCTGCCGGATGGTTTTCCAGCTGCCAACCCACCAACAGCTCCCGGAGGCAGCGCTCCTGTTAGCACAGCTCAGCACACCACAGAGCAAACACGCTTGAAAGCGTCTCCCCAGGGCATCCCTCCCTGCCTTATCTCGGAGGACAGAGATCTAAGGGACCACTACTGAAGGCTGATCTGAAGGTGAGGTTTATTCAAACACATACTTCACCCTTCCCTCTGTTTTCTCCGAGCTCCGAACGGCTCAGGAGAGAGTCCTGCCCTGCTCCCGCTGGGACAGGGGGTGGTGCAGAGGGTGAGATGCTGGGGATGGTTGGCTGGAAAGCACCAGGAGAGGTCACTGGGCAGGTGGCCTTTGCAGGTTCTCATCCCTGGTGGAGCCCATAAACCTGGTAAAATATTTACATGATGACTCTTGACAGAGGCTTTATTTTCCTTCTCACCATCAGACTCCCTTGACTGCTCCAAGCCCTTTCAGAGCTTTAAGAGAGCAGGTTTAATCATCTCAGATCAGGGATGAAGGTGGAAAACATGGGTTTCTCCTTTAGATGGCGGGAGGGGGGGGGAGGGAAAGGGAGAAAAATCTGTCAATTATTTATTGGTGACGGGAGGAAAACTGGTGTCTGTTGAGATTCACAGGCATGAGGGGGAAAGTCACAACAAGGAGACCTCTGTAGTTCTGCACTGGACCGACAGACAGGACTCAAGAGCACAGGTGTGGGTTTCAGCCATACTCAGAGCATTAAAAAAATAGATGGCATT